TCAAGGTTCTTCTAACAAGATCGTGGACACCACGGACGACGAAGAAAGAAAATTCAAGCCAGGTCCTCTTGCAGCCGAAGTTCTTCACGATTTCATATCACCCGTCTTAGCGGCACCTATCGAGAAGAATTCCAAGTTGGAAAAGTTTGCCGCCAAGTTGCTTGCTGTTCTTCCTAGGAAGGAAGGCAAATAGGTGTGCAAGGGCAACTACCAGTCGAAAGTCGAGCCATCTCAGAAGCAATTCGTGTAGCTGACGACTTCGTTGGAGAACTGTAGCATCAGCTAAAATATAGACCGAGCGCCGCTCCGTTTTCTACATTACTTTCGATATGCCTCGCAGTCTTTTAAGAAGTACATAGCACATAGGTGCTTTAAATTCTTGTCCTTTCCTCGTCCCATTTACACCCCAATCTGCATTCCCTGTCATGCGTCGCTTCTTCGGCCGCTTCGCCAGTCGCCCGCGCGTTGTCGCCGGCAACCAGACTCCGCGGCGCACGGTGCCCGAGAGCATCCCGCGTCCCCCGTACGCTGTAAGCGGCGGTATGTCGGACCTCAAGCCCTTCATCCCCATCCTGGACGCAGAGCAGCAGCAACGGCTGCGCGCAGCCTGTGCGTTGGCTGGAGACATCCGCGAGTTCGCCAAGCCGCTGTGCCAACCCGGAGCCACGACGGAGGATATCGACCGCCTCGTGCATGAGGAGATTGTTCGACGCGGCGCCTACCCGTCGCCTCTGAACTACGGAGGCTTCCCCAAGGCGCTATGCTCGTCTGTGAATGAGATCGTAGTGCACGGTATTCCCGATACTAGGCCGCTGGAGGACGGAGACATTGTCAATATCGACGTCTCCGTCTTCCTGGGCGGATTCCACGGCGATACGTCTCAAACGTTCCTGGTGGGGTGTGTGGACGAGGCCGGGAAGCACCTGGTGGAGGTCACTAACCAGGCGCTTATGGGCTCCATCGAGCACTGCTGCAAGCCACTCAATCGCTTTGCTAGTATAGGAGACTTCGTGCAGAAGCTAGTGGAAAAGGAGGGACTGGGTGTAGTGCGGGAATACACTGGTCACGGTATTGGCAAGGAGTTCCACTGCTTGCCCTTCATCCTGCATCATCGCAACGGCGAGCCGGGCAAGATGCTGCCGGGTATGGCGTTCACAGTGGAGCCGGCGCTCACGGAGGGAAGTCCCGAGGTGAGATGTTAGTTGCGGGATCGGATACAGGTAGTTTTTGCTCATTGTTGTGATGGAAATTGATGGCTAGATTGAGCACTGGGACGACGGCTGGACTGTGGCTACGGCAGACGGCGGACGATCGGCGCAGGCGGAACACACCGTGCTTATCACCGAGGACGGCGTCGATATTCTGACATAGAAACAAGCCGTTGCTGTTTTGGATGGAAAATTTAACTACGTGAAGCAGATAAAGCTGTGGAGATCTCCATTTATATACGGCAACTAATCTATAGCAGCATCCTACCGCGATTGTAGACCATGTGCTGTCTAGCTGCTTTGTGGACTCGTTCATCAGGACACAAAGTTATCTCCGTTATACTGCATCGCAAAGACAACGCTTTATAATCCGAGAAACAGGGCCATAATTGCAATAAGAGAGCATTATAGATGCTCAAGTGCAGCATAGCTAAGGTAAGGGATGGTTAGTAAGGGCGACAGTGCTATTGCACAGAAACCAGAGATGAAAGTGGCATCCTGCTAAAGTCTTATAGCGAGGGTTTGAAACCTTTTACCAGTAAGAGCTCGTAGAGTCTAGCCCGCGTTCCAAACAAGAGAACGAAGAGACTCATAAACACAAATTAAAAAATATACTTCAGAGTAGAATGGTAGTTAGAATTGTAGAAGCACAAACTCTGCAAACATGCAATTATTTTAAAAGGTACTAGTAGCATCTGAGAACTGGATGATTACGTGCAGTTCCAAGTCGGCACTTCCGACAGAAGGAGTGCCTGACACTTACTGTGACGGGGTCACACAGCACCTTGTGCAGAGGAAGTTTATTTCCTCTAGAGTATACAAACTCTAAGTGAACGACCGTTCACGTGTCCCTGGTCTGAAGGGGACGAAGTA